AGGTAAAGGAAGCTGGGTTTGGTGAGGAAGTGTTCTAGGCAGGACAAACAGAATAAGCAAGAGTTCAGAAACAAAGAGTTGGAAAGATGAAGAGGTAATATGATCACTAGCTCCTTTTTTGCCTGAAAGCTTTAATTATATAAGCTCTGTGTGTGTGTGTGTGTGTGTGTGTGTGCGTGCATGCATGTGTATGTGTGTATACCTGTTTCTCTTTTTTGAAGACTGATATACCAGTCCGGACCTGTTTGGGCCCCCCTTCCTCACAGAATATGCCAAAGGAATTCCTGCCATCTGGTGGACAGAGAAGTGACATCACATGTAAAAAATTGGCATTAGTGTAGTTTCAGGCTCACAGCATCCCACATTGTGACATTTCCATTCAGTGGTTTAAAAGGCCTGGTGTACTTAAAAAGAAAAGGAAGAAACAGAAATATTCTCATGTGACCCTCTCTTGTATGAAAATATGAAGGGAAGCCAGGAGAAGGAAGGCGAGAGGGAGAGGGAAGCAATTATGTATGCACATATGCCAACACAGTACTTAGAAAGCATACTCTCACCTATCCTTCAAATAGAAGGCACATGAAATCCATTTTTCAGCTGAGGAAACAGACAGTTCAGGGAAGAGCCACCTCTGGCTAACTCCGTGTTACATTGCCACCAGTCAGGGTTTATCTGTTGGTCAATAAGGGTTAAGCAGGAGTCATAACATATTCCCCAGTTGTGACAATGATGCTTTTAAACTAAGACCACAGTGAAAATGCTTAAGATTCCATTTGGCACTCAGAAGACACAATAACAGTCCAAGTCATATACATGTCAGTTGGTTCCCAAAGCTGAGATAGCGTAGATGCCATGTTATAATGGATACATTTTCAGAGGTTAAAAAGCAGAATGTATTTCTAACAGTTTTATGGTACTGCATTTCTACTTGAAAGGAAGTCTTAAAAATTCAATTTGGATGCAGAATTGTTCGGACTTGTTCTCAAAACACAGAGATTTTACGATTGAAATTATCTCAGAAAAATTCAAGATGGGTAGGGTCCTACAGGATAAGGATGACTTACAAACCATAATCAATGTGTATATTATGCTTTTCCATACCCCTTTATACCTATAAGCCCTTAGAAGTTTTTTTTTTTATTACTATAGTATTTGACACACAAGTAGGAGCGAAAAACATGACTATAAGTATGAAATTTTTGCTTAGCATCTACTTATATATACAAAGACATGAAGGGCTATTACACACAAAATGTCCACCAGCTGTCCTTTGTCTCCACCAAGGACAACACAATGGAAGTAGAGCACGAACAAATTGGAATGGAGAAATTAGTACAGAGATGGATGGGAGGGTGGCCTGGGAATGGAGGAGCCTCAGGACAGATCACAAGGGAAAACAGTAGATGTTCTAGAATTAAAGGATCTATTTGAGATCATTAAAATACACCAGGATTGTGGTTGGGCTTTGAAATATTCCATGGTGTCAGGTTCCTTGTCAACTCCAAAGTTTTGACAATACTTGGGTCTCTACAGCGGTGATAGGAAATGTGGGAGAATATAAAATCTTGACCTTCAAGAAACTTATAATCTGTGCATAGGAAATCAAGGAATGATTATTTGGACTGGTGTAATCAGGGAAGTCCTTGTAGGGAGAGAAATGAGACTTCTGATGGCCTAATAAAAACAAACACATTTAGGATGCACAGATTGGAGGGAAAGACAACTTTGATCTACTCTGAATGTTAAAGCATGGCCTCTGAAACTTGCCTTTATATATTTTAAACTTTTACGAGTAAGGGAGGGAAGGACCAGGTCTTTTGGGGAAGAAATTACACAGGAGAAATGAGGTTTCGGGTTGTTACTATTTGTTGTCACTTCCTAATCAAATTGTAGCAAATTAAAAATAATAAAGGCACACTTGTTGAGAGGTTTTGGCTTGCTATTTTGCCAAGATACAAAATTAGTTATGAATGTAACTTAAATACATTCACACAACTGATATTTATTGAACCCCAACTCAATAAATGGAAAGCCCTATTCTAGACAAAATACATAAGGATGAGCAAGAAAGATACTTCCTCATAATATACAAAGAGATGTAAGACATTGATATTAATTTTAGATATAAAAATGATAAGAAGTTTCCTGTTCTTGAGGAATAAACATTTGATATTGCCCTTATCTATGGAATTTTAAAATAAGATGAAAGAAAGGCACGCACTGAGCACAAGACATTTATCTTCCCTACCCTGGGGGAAAGTATATTTTAAAGGAGTTTTGGTAATATGTGCCGAAAGATTACTCATGTACCTACCTACACATACAGCGTGACTAGTTTTGTTTTTAATCAGAAAATTTGAGTTTAGGAAGATAACAGTCATAAACATGCCAGAAAAAAATGCAAAATGTCTACATCATAAAAAAAAGTGATGGTCTAGAGAAATTTGAAGGTAGACAGATTTCCCCAATCCCCAGTTCCTTTTTCTTAAAGACAGAGCTAAAATAACAGTATGAAGCTACAGTCATGCATCTGTTTCTGATTTACTTTCTTGGTCTTGTCTTAGTTGGAGTCATTTCTAGATCATATGCTAGTCTTCAGCAAAGTTACAGAAGGAATTTACAGAGGGCAAATATATAATGAAATATACTTACAAACACACCATCAGTAATCCAAGGACATATGCAAAACTCACCATACAACTGCACCAGTCACAACTTGTTAAGTGTTCTGTTTTTACCTTTAATTACAGCACAGCAGTTCTTCCCTTCATCCCTCTTCATAACTTCCTACTAGAGGACACCGGCATTCTCTAGAGCTGCAACTGAAGACAAATCTAGAAGCCACTGATTCCCTATTTTCCTTCACACAATTGTGAATAAAATTTTTAGTACAAAATTTTCTTAAACAGGCTTTCAGTCAGGTCTAACATGGAATCTGCTTAAACGTCAGAACATGAAGTGTTCAATTCAAAAAGGATATTCTGCATGTGGGATATGCTTGAACAGAAATCTAAACCATTTACATCTATTTTCTGATCTTTCCTTATAACAGCTATATATAAAACTTTCAAAAAATGAAAACAAGACAAAGGCCAATTTTGTCCTTTTAATTCACTCTTCTGAGAAAAAAAAAATGGACATTAATCTTGAAAATTAAATTGCAATTATTTTCTCATTTTTGTTTTATAGTTTTTTCACCCAATTTATTATGACTTCCTAAGACCATGCCTTCTCACTTTATGTACCTAAAACATCAGTTACTAAGCACTTATGTTAGTACTTTTTGTGGTTATTTTATTGAAAACATTCCCTTAATTTGGCATAGCATTACTTTACTTCGGATTACTTATCTGCTATATGGCTGATAATGTCTACCTTTCAAGGAAGGCAGACAATTCAGACATGTAATTTGGCAAAATTAGGAAACAGTAGCATCAGTTCTAAGAATATAGGAAAAGTCTGAAGAGTGAGTTGACATTACTGTCTGGGGTCAAGACAGTGTTCTCCAAAGATCACAGTGTGCACCATGTAGGCGGAAACACCACACTGCAGATACTGCAGACAGCATTACCCGCCAAATTTGGCCACAGCTTCTTAAGATAACTAACTTTTCAGTGACGTGGAGAGTTGAAATTACATAAACAACTGAAATTACTAAGACCAAAGCCTGCAACTTTTGTGGGTTTCAAGATTTTATGCAATCACTATTCTGACATCTGTAACAGTTTTGTCCCTAAAACAGTGATGCCAGGAATGAAACAATTAACATTACTTGATGACTTTCATTCTGATTTTGAAATAAACTTAACATCTAATTCTTTGGAATAACCACTCGAGCCACATTTTTATTTAGGTCATTAAAACCACCATAACCATCTCCTTTTAAGGAAAAGTTTCATTTAAAATGCTAGAGCTATAGCCTCTTTGCAAAACTAACAATTGTATCTTGTTATATTAATAGTTCCAAATGTCTAAGGCATATTTAATGAAAATACCCTCAACAATTTTATCTCAAGAGCCTGAGCAATAAGAATTTTAAAAGGTTGACAATGAAAAACAGCTGTATATTGCAAGAACTTCCATTGTAATTGGAACACTATTTACTCTTCTAGTCTTTCTCCAGAAGCGACTATTTTGGCTGAATATTTTAGGAAGCTATCTGCCATTATAAAAGTGTATTGCAAAGGCCTAAAAATCTCAAGAATATTTATTCTTGCTGATTTTGATGAAGCACATTGGGGAATTTTCCCCAAAATTGTAGCAACATTCTCCAGTGGGATTACAACTACTAGGAACCAACTTAGAACATGGTACCATTTTTTAAAACACCAGCTCCATTTACCTCCCTTCTTGTCTATCAACAAAGTTCCATCCTAACAAAATTAACATGGACAAGTTTGAATTCAAAACTTCCTGCCAGAGTGTCTCCCTTCCTTACCCTACTGGTAAAATTTTTTTTCTCTATCTGTGTGAATCAAAACTTCCAGCTGACTATAAAGACTTCATTTTGGTTACTGAGATGATTTACTCTATTTGGGACAAATATCCTGGTCAGTGACCATCTCTTCTATAGCCAAGCCTTTTTTATGTTATTTGGACAATACATTTTGACCAAAATATTTATAGTTATTACTAAAACTATTACTATTTATAGTTATTAACCTATTATCACCATTTGCTGAAAGAATTACTCATTAATCTGAAGAGCTGGGCAAAAATTTTGAAGTTTTTTTTTTACAAAAAGAGATGGGGGGTGGTCTCATTGTGTTGCATAAACTGGACCCCAAACTTGTGTGTTAGCCTTATAAGTAGCTGGGACTACTTATAAGACACATGTCAGCACATACTAGAGATCAGTCACGATCACTGAGCTCTATTCCTCAGCTCTTTCTTAAATTTTCAGGCATGGCCTAAGTTGCCCAAGCCAACTTTCAACTTGTGATTCTCTTGCCCCGGTGTCCTGAGTAGCTGGGATAACAGGTGCACACATCTACATCTGATTATCATTTTTTAAATGAATAGTTGACATATAATTTTATTAAACATACAAATTAGAGAACATTCAAAATTTTTAAAAAATTACAGCATAAGACATCAAATCAATGGCAATTGTGCACATGCACACACATATTAAATTACAATTACCAAACATTAGGTAGGCATACTGACATATCAAGGCTCAAAATAACAAAGTCAATGTTTATAGTCTTTAACTGCTAAGTGAGAAACTTCTCTCAGACTTACTTTGCATAGAAGTGTGATATACTGTCATGGACCATTTTGGAATGTCAATAACATCAACTTCTACACTAGGTCCTTTTCTACTCTGCATCCTTCATTTATGTCTTCCCAAACCATTTAAGTTAAAACAGCTGTAGAAATCTGAATGGCTCTAGGTAAAAAGTATCACCAGTAAAGTTCTTAACTCTATGTTCACTTTTCCCTTTAGCAGTTACCTAATTATAGCTAAGATATTGTGGGAAACATAAATAATATTCACCTTGCTCTTGAATGCTTCCCTTTATCAACTAGTGTGTCTTATTATTTTAAATTCTCAACTGTAAACACATTACACTTAGTAAAGCACCCAGAAATTTATGGTACCATATCAATTCCAAGGAGAATGTTAGGTAGGGGCAGAGAAGGGGGAAAAAAAGAAAGAAAGAAAACATGACAATTAATGAAAAAAGTGTTTCACGAAGTATTTTTTAAATGAATAAATTAAATACAATTTCAAGTGATATTTTGCCCCACAAACATTTCCTGTTTATAAAAGGCATGTGTATCTCCAGAAGAAGTTATTATTTAACTTGAAAAGAATTTTGAGTATTAGCATCAGTATGAATTTTTCAAAGGTGGCTCATACCTTAAGGCAGCAGGAAACTAAGTTTTCTGACTCATTTAACCCCTATCACATACATTAACCTGATAACTTGAACCCATGGCCCAAAGTAAAATTGTTCCCTCTTTTGCCTATGGCTAAAGATCTGATTCTACTTGGTTGACTTCAACTCCATGTCATGTAGTTAGCTGAAAGAACTCTTTGAGGCATTTCAAGTAATTTTAAATCTATATTTTACAGTCTGTCACCAGGACAAATACTAAGATTTTAAAACATTCACCCTTCCTTATTCTTTAAATAAGAATTTATGGCTATTACAAAGGACTCTTTCACTCTGCCTCTCTATATACAATATCATTAAATGAATCTCTGTCTCATGTGCTACCCTGTCCTTCTGCCTTCTGCTATGGATGAGCCTTGCCAGCTGTGATGAGTACCACGCTCTTGGACTTCCCAACTTCCAAAACTGTGAGCCAAATAAATTTCTATTGTTTATACATCAAACAAACAAACATTAAATGAAGAACCATCATCACAAGCTCATATCTTTAAAAAATGGATGTAACAAAGCTTCTTCTGCTGTTATTCTTGAAGCTGGATTTAGATCTAGAAGTTTATCCAGAAGATCATAAGCTTCATCAGGTACCTCATCCCAGCCTTCTACACTGGTCTTATTCTCATTAAAATGTTTCTCACACCCATTATCTCCTTTATATAATGAATCTCTTGAGGGTTGTACTTGAGATCTTTGAATGACGTAAGAAGCTTTATGGTCAGTCTTATCTGAAAAAGTTGAATCATGAGAAGGACATCTCTGGATATCACTTGCTAATTTGGGAGTGTCAGACCCTTGACTCCTGAGTCTCTCACAGAGTTTCCTCAAGTTTTGAGCTGGGACTTCTTTGCTACATAGTATTGATTTACCTAAAAGAGGAAAAAAAAAAAAAAAAAAAAACAGAACAAAAAACCATTCTTACGTTATTTAAAAATTTCAGAAACATCTTTCATGAGAATCATCCAAGTCAGGCATATGCTTTTATGGAAATACAGAGTATAAGACAGACCACATACTATTTTTAAATTGTATCTAACTACAGTTGAAGGCCAAATCATAAGGTGGGAAATAATAAGTAGAAAGCAGCAACCAGGCATATTCACTTGACTGTCAACCTTTTCAGCTTCATTTTAATCTTCTGTAATTTTTAACCAGCTGTAGCTACCACCCTTTGCCCCATTTCCAAACACTTGTACCTTTGACTACAATAGCCTACGATGCTCTACACCCATCACGTGCCTAAGACATAGCCACTTAGGTCAAAAATAATCTCTATTAGGTCTGATATTCAGAGAATCGAATATTTCAAGCTCTTGCCGTATTCTTGGGACAGTTCTATCATTTACTCCTGTATTATAACTGATAAATGTATAACCATATCCTGAGACTGAGCTCTTTGAAAGTGAGACAATTGTTTTTGTTTTGTTTTGAATCTTTAAAGCCTCAAAACATACAATGTCTTGTACATATTGGGTTCTCAGCTAATGTCTATCAGATTGAAGAAAAAAGCATTATCCATCTGAGCGACTATTAAATGTCACATTTTGAGAGATGCTGTTCTTGACCAATCAATCTTAAATAGCTGTACCCTCTTCATTCCCTTTCTCCTTTTGTCTTTCTCAATAGCATTTATTTCTGATAATAAATATAGTAAGTCTCAGATTTATGAACGAGTTCCATTCCACAATTGTTCATAAGTTAGATTCGTTTGAAAGCAAACAGTTTATATAGTATACATGTGAAAGTTTGTAACTCGAATGTTTGTAAGTCAGGGACTTACTATATTTATTTTCTTTACCTCATTAGAATTAGAGTTCTATGAAAGCAGAAAATCACAATAATACCTGGCACATATAAAGTCCTAACAATGTTTCTGAATGAATTTTTTAAACCAGACCTGGTTTTTACAATCTTTACCCCACCCCCAGCTATAAGCTTATATCAGACACCGTGTGAAAAAAGTCTACAAACAAATGGCGAGGCACATATATACGACTTTTGCCTTTTATTTCCTTATTTAAATATGTCTCTAAGTGAGGAGTAGAAGAATATTTAGATTCCTTTTTGGAGTATTCAGATTACCACCAAAACAGTGCAGGTAATAAAGTTACCTTTACATATTCTGATCTAACCACTGGACTGGAATACTGAGGCAGGAAAAGTAGGAGGTGCAGGCAGTGAAAACAAAGGAAACAAATTACCACAATTTAATTTGGTGAGGGTACAGCATGCCAATTCTTTTTTACTTTTAAATCTATCATTCTTAGCTTTTCTATGAAAGTCTTAGAAGAGAAGAAGCATATAGTTTTATTTCTTAATTTATTAAATTATGAAGTCATGAAATAATCCTGTATGTTATAGCATGTCACAAGCTATATAATATGCCTACATTATTTTCACATATGATCAAAGAAGAGGATATATTCAAAATATTTAGGGAAAAGAATTTATACTAATACAACCAAGCAAAGCATATATTGTGACAGTTTAAAAAATTTTTTTTAGTTCATAGTTTTCTTTTGAATTTATTCAATACAATTCATAGAGTATTTAATGATCTGCAATGGGGCAAGGTCTAGGGATAAGGACAGGAGAACAGGTTACACGCAGGAGAAGTAGTACTCACTGCTAATCCCAGGCAACTCATTCCCTTATGTTGTAAAGGGGAACACAGCTGTATGTGCCAAAATTTTCAGTCTTTAGTACTCTATACAAAGCTGTACTACCGTACTAAAAAAAGCCAAGACAAATGCTACAAAGCATGATTATTTTTAAAATATGAAAACAAGTGCCTGCTATCATGGGACTTGCTGTGGATTACTTTTGTCAGATTCTATAATCCCACTATTGACCTGCATTGTAACCATTACATTCAATGAGGAAGATCCAAGCTCTTCAACAAAATGTTTTGGTGCTGGCTGATAAGCCAAGTTCATGAACATCTTTAAAAGTTTTTTAATAGTACATAAAAGTTTTCTCAATTAATTGAGAATATCCTCATTTATTACAATTAGTATAATATCAGTTTTAATATAAAAATCTTGTTTTACAGTCACAATTACTTTTCCTTTGTATATATATTATTTTGCCCTATGTTTCTCAAAATTTTCTTGTAATACGAAGAAGACAGATAAAAGTTGTGAACTGACTGTATTACAAAAATATTTTTTTGGCAAGACTCTATCAGGAGACTTGCCTGACAACTATCACTAAATTTTTCTTGTGAAATAGACCATGGCATTGGTACCTACGCAAGGGACAATCATTTTTGTAGCAGTGGTTACTAAGAAGTAGTTCTTTAGTCAAAATCACTTCTGTCATCAAACTAACAAGCTGGAGCCTTCCTAAGTATCATATTGTTCTGAATCATATTTTCCAGAAATGGGTGGGGCTGGGCAGGCATGTGTATTTCTTCAAGTTTCTCAGATAATTTAATGTTACTTCTGGTTAAGACCACTGATCCTGGATCTGGGCCCCAATACCCTTGAGATAGGTTGATTGAAACTTTGCACATATTGGGTATACAAGCTAATGCAGGCATAGCCACTCCTTGGAAAACATTTTAACTGTAACTATCTTAAACACAAGGTGTGCATTTGAGTTCAAGCTGTTGGACAGAGCAAGGCTGAGATAATTCTTAGGTACCCTATAAAGTAGAACCTACATGGCTAAGAAGACTTACCATATCTAATGTATATTTAAAATAATACTCCATAAGAAAAGGTGTTCCAGTCCTTTTCACTTCTCTGCTATCCTAATTCTAAAGAATCTGACAACACACATTTCTATTCTCTTCCCCATTGTAGACCTTATTATACTGTATTAAAATTAACTTTACTTGTTAAACTAAGATCAATTAAAACAAAGACTTTATCAGTACCAGGCAGACAATCTGATGTTTAATATACAACAAAAAATTAAAATCTATTACTAAAAATATTTATATAAAAGAGAATTAAGATTTTTATTCCTAATTAAAATTATAAAATTGAACTTTAAATATTAGAGTAGTTTAGTATTTTAATTTGGCAAAATAACACAAATATATAATATATAAATATATACATGATATTTTCTTACCTGAATAAAACTTATTTTGAAGCAACTGAGAAATTTCCTAAAATTAGAACTTTATAAACACTGAGTACTTCTTTGTGAAGAGAATTTTTAAATAATTTATTAAGTGATCTGTTGGAGATTACCAGAGGCATTTGTTTTATTCTGTAATACAAAACTGCTTACCAAAAGTTTTAGCAGCCTGGATAGTTTCCCTGGATCCTCGAATTGTCATAATTTGAGCCAAAGCAGTTAAATCATCACTTGCTTTATAAAATGGATATCGCCCACTTAGCAGAGAAAGGAAAATGACACCTGCAGACCACATGTCAATTGCTGTAACAGAGAACAAACTTTAAAATAAATTCCAAATATATAATCTATATATAACATACCATCTAAACAAGTAGTTTTTTATGTTTACTGGGCATTAACATCATTTTAGGAGTCTGAAAAAATTCAGATGTCAAGAGGCTCAATCTCTCAGAGGTTATAATCAATTAGATTTGGAGTGTGTATTTTTAAAAGTTTCTCAGGTGATTTCACTGTAATCAGGATTTGACTCAACACCCTTACAAAAACACAGTATTTTCTTTCTTGAACACTTTGATTAATTTAAAAGCATAATACACCATCAGAAAACTCTAAGTAAATTATATTTTATAAGGGCAAAAGATACCAAAAATAACTGTGGGGAAAAAATCTGGATACTCCTTAAGATCCACAGCCAGAGGTTAAAGTATTTTTATTTTAGTGTAAAGTACTGAAAACTAAGATGCTCTACTTTAGTCAGATACTAACATCAACTATTAGTATAGAAACTTTAATAATCTCCTGAATTCTGGAAGTTAATATTAAGCCTAGTTTAAGCTTTGGTCCTGCGTTCAATCCTAGCAGTGCCAAAATGAATACCATTACCCAAACCAGAAAAACAGACTAGCTCAGCTTCATATTAAAAAGCTCCTTTTCCCCCTTTTAGGGACAGATTTCCTAATTGTTGAAGCAGTATTACTGAGTTACTGTTCTCTATTCCCTTGGCCACCGATTACCTGCCTTTCTTAGATCCATTTCTACTTTTTAGTCTGTTCCTTCACTGTGTTTTCCTAGCCATAAGTGCTGAGGTTCCTCAGAGTTCAAATCTTTCCTCCTGTGTAATCTGATTATTTCATTCACTTCCACAGCTTCAGGTATCATTTATATAACTATAACACTCAACTATATTTCTAGTCTAACTTCTTCCCTGAGCTGACTTAAAGTAATTTTATTGTGTCAGGCATCTCTTTTTGGATATCTCACCGCAATTTTACCTATCCCCATAAACCAGTTGTAGCTCCCTTATTCTCCACTGTGGCTCCTATACACACCAAAACCCCTCAGGCCAGGAATCTAATAAATATCATAGATGCTTTTTCCCCGCACTACCTCATCACACTCAAACTTAATAACTAGTTATACCTAAAAAGTAGGCTCTGTCTTTCTGATCCTTTCACCTTCCTATTCATTCCTTTTGCCAATGCTCCTGCTCATATTTTCATCATCTCTCTCACGCGGACCATTGCAGGTTACCATCCTCCAAAATCTACCCTCACTGCATGCCTGCCAGAATGACCTACCTAAAGACAGTCACCATCTTTTCTTCTTGAAAAGCTTTCTACAGTACATATTGCAAACTGTTTAACAAGCACAATCTTACTTGGTATACTTCTGTCACATGTTTATTTCTAACCATTAAAATTGGACCTTAGATTCTAGAAACATTAATCTTTTAATTTCCTATTTGCCGAGATTATGCTGTTTGAGTTCCTCAGCTCATGCCTCATTGTTAATTCTTTACCACAATTTACAGTCTTATCTCAGAGATCATCTTTTCTATGAACTTCCTTTCACAATCTTTGAGTTAGTGAAGGTATCTGTTAAATCCCTTATAGAAAGTTTTACCATATTCAATAGGTTATTTTGTAATTACTATCTGAGAACACACCTTAACTAGAGTGCAAGCAGATGGTCTCATTCATTTCTGCATCATCAGCAAGCACAGAACACAGACACAATGAATGAATGTATTTCTTTAAAGCCTATAATCCAAGTGAATAGCAGGATTCATCTATTCATTCAACAGATGTTACCTGAGTTCTAGCTCCATGACAACTTTTAGACTACAGAATACTTTCTTTTTCAAAATCTTTTAATTGCTATTGCACTGTTTTCACAGTAACAAAAAAGTAATTCTAACCAAATACAATTATATCTGTACCACAAAAAAACTGAAGTATTAAATAAACCGATAAAGTACTACAAGTGGTTAAAAACTATTAAACATATTTTTTCTCTATAAAAGTGATAGTAGTAGTAACAAAATCACCTTATAAGCAAAATATTCTTCCAGAAAAATTATTTAAAAACAAGAAGCAATATTAGGATCAAAAATTTCATAAAAAATAGCTCAGAAGTGGTGGTACATGCCTGTAATCCCAGTATTCAGGAGGCTAAAAAGCAGGAGGATCAGATTACCACAAGTTTGAAGCCAGCTGGGCTATATAGTGAGACCTTGTCTCAAAAATAAAGTCCCCAAAGAAGTATCTGGGAAAAGACATTTGAATTAGATTCCATGTTTCCAGTGCAACATACCTGTAGACTGATTCGGGCATTTTGTCAAGACCTCTGGTGCTCTGAATCCTGGTGTACCTGCCCTAGGGGCAACTTGCTGACGCCTTATAATAAAGAAGTAAGATTTCTCTAGTTATGTTAAAGTTGAACTATTTAAGTCCAAGAAAGTATATTTATCAATTTAGTTCAAAGTAAATTTTGCCTTGATATAGATATAAACCAAATGATAAGCTAGTGTGATCATCTACCTAGAGTTTTACTCTACTAATTTCATTCTCTTCTACTAGATTTCTGGTCTTTTTAGGTAATTTCTAAGCACAAAAACAGAGGCAAATGATAAAAGCCATAATAGTAAAACAGAAGATAATAAGAATTTATGTAAAAATTCATTGGTTTTTGGGTGATTAATTATTGATATACTCCATGTCTCATAGATTTGAGTTAATCAGGGAAAGCTTTATGAAAGCCAAGTCTTAAAGGAAAAGGAAAAATTCTGGAGGCAAACCATTAAAGATGGGAATAAGAAAGCTCTATTACTTGGTTCTGGTTATTCCACATAGGCAGAAATAGAGAAAACAGAAATGATTAAATCAGCAAGCCAAATGTCAATTCCAAGTTTCTAAAAACACTTATTTTCTACCTTTCAAACTATTTGCATATTAGCTCAAATGTATTTTCTAAAGAGAATATGCATGTTAAATAAACAGTGTATAACAACAGTTATATGTTCTTCAAGGCTTTGCTCTGTATCAGTGCCTGTGCAGTTCACAGATCTACACAGCCACTGTTACTCTTTACTCACTAAACAAACTGCCCACCAAAATTAGTTCAATTTATAATCTTGTCTGGAAGCATGCTAGTGATTTTACAACACCAATAAAACAGGTTACCTTGAAAGGCAAATACTGCAAACTTTATCTGTTGCATAGCAGTCACAGGTCAGGCTGGCTGGGCAAGAGCTGACAGTCTTCTTTACCACACCACTATTCATAACTTTTGTAGAAATAGCCTTCTTTTTTGTTGCTAACTTTCTTGATATTACATCCATAGTCTTTGACTGCTTTATGAGCTATAAAAGAAAAATTACATTTTCTACTTTCATGATATAATACAATGCCTTCAAATGCTAGTATGGTAAAATGCAGTGACAGAAGAGCAACTTTTAAAACTGCTGGGTGTGCTAGTGGAATATAAACAAACATTTATCAACTAAAAAGTTTAAGATCTTTCTGGGATTTTCAAACAACCTGCATTAAAATTTACTAATCAACTTGGCAAATATTTGACTTACATTTTAACAGAATTTTTGATGATATATTACAAAGGTGTAAGTTGTGTTCTAGTGTCTAACTCCATTTCAGAACTATAAATTGCACAATTACATTAGCTAAAATCAGTTTTAATTTGTTGTTCCAGTCTCTAGCTGTCACAAGATAGCAAGTCAATTTATAATCATCTAACATTGATAATTTTGTTGACTTTATAAACATCTGTATAGCATCACATATGTGTCAGAACTATGTGAGGTGTGGGAGCTCACAATTCTGGCAATCTTGACAGAAAAGTTTTAATGTTCCAAATAGTGCTGTAGGGAAAGAAAAATAGCTAACCAAAAATGATGAAACATTTACCAGAAAAGTTCAGGAAAAAAAATCAGAGAAGATAAAAGTTTTGATTAAATGCTCACAGCAATTATACTGCCAAAGCTATACTCTACTTAATAAATACTCATCTAGTCATTACCTAAACTCTCCTTAGTGAATGACTGACTGACCATTGGACTATTAAGCTACATTACTTACTTTCACTGCAGGGCTCTCATGTGAAATGGAGCTGTGTATATTGAAATTTCTTTCTCCAAAAACAGAGCGCTGGGCAGAAAGGCCTACAGATCCCTCCTACAATACCAACAAAAACAAGGAAAATAAGGATTACGTCTGTAACACTTTCTGCCAGCTGTACTCTGCCATAGTTTTAAAAGAGTTAAGTGATAGGAAACAAAAACAGCTGCATCCAAGACATTCTCAGGCACCAAAGCACTTCTGTAAAAGGAGAAAATAGTCTAGACAGAACTCTTAATACCCATACAATGCTATCATACCCCACAGATATATATAACTAGAAAAATTTAAAAAGTCACCTACATTAAATGCTACATTTTGCTGTGCAGCTAAAATGGAGATAGACACTTCATATTTTTGCCCCTATAACTAACAATTTCTTTTAAAAATGATAATCTGAACTTTATAACATGCAGAGAAAATTTATAATTTTCCATATTTATCACATAGTTTTAGAATATATGACAAAGATCAACAAAGTAAAAACTTTTCTTTTTTTTTTTTTTGAGGAACTGGGGATCAAACTCACAACCTGGCACTTGCCAGGCAGGCGCTTATGCCACTGAGCTAAATTCAAAAACTTCATTTTGAAAAAATAAAATAGCTCAGTTCAAATCTTGGTAACAATCTAATCAAACAAATGCATATAACAAGAATTTTTAAAAGGTAAATTACAGGTACTGTCTTAGTATTATATCTCCTATTGGAGCAAGGAGTACATTTCTAAAATGGTATGATAGGAGGTCTTAAGAATAATAAAAGGTAGAACCTTTCCATCTTTTCCTTGTTTAATCTGAATTTGTGTATTTGTGTAGGGTCTTTTGACAGAAGTTTTCGTGGTAGAGTGTAGATTCTGCTCCTTATTTTTCATGGTAGAGTGCAGATTCTGCTCCTTATTTTTCGTGGTAGAGTGCAGATTCTGCTCCTTATTTTTCATGGTAGTGTGCAGATTCTGCTCCTTATATGCTGGGCCACTCAATGAGATCTTGCCTCCAATGACTATGTGAGACTTGTTTTGTGGACAACATTCTTGCTCAGCTTCAGACTGGACCAATTTGAGAAGCTCTATTTTTGTATCATGGGTTCCTTGGGCCAAACCAAAGTCTACCAACGCGTACCTAGGAAACAAAATTAATCTTTACTTTTCTTTAATTAATTAAAGCTTAGTAACATTGTAATACTTGCAAATAAATTTTAATTATCTTAATATAATCTATTATATAGTAGCAGTATTTTATTTTCAGCTTAAGTAATGCCTTTATTGATATGAGCCCAAAAAATATACATAAAATCAGAACTCTGATACAGAAACAAAATTAGCTATCATGTTATATAATTCCCTCATTTACTAAAACAGAAAAATGAAGCCCAGAGATTTTTTTTGTAATTGGGGGAAAGAAATGCATGAAGAAAACAGTATTTCTTTCATGCATTTCTTTCCCCCAATTACAAAAAAAGTTTTAAACCATAATATTTGTACAAGGGCCGGGGTCAGCAGTGCCTGCCTGGTAAGTGCAAGGTCTTGAGTTCAATCCCTAGTACCAATGACAAAAATAATAATAATAATAATAATAATTTATACAAAGCTGTTGCAGAGAGAGATCCGATAGCACAAATACACAAGTGTAAGTATTTTCTGGGAATTCTTCATACTTACTTTTTTAGGCGTCTATTATATAAAAAGTTACTGGGTTTAACATCACGGTGAACAATTCCAAACTGATGAATGCGTTTCAAAGCTTTGAAAAGATTAAACATATATTCCCGTACTTCTTGAAAGGAAAGAGAATTCAAAATGTCCTAAAATAAAATTATGAATGTGGTCATAAAGTTTTTTCCAAGCAAACATTTAGATAATTAAAATTCAAGAAATCTTAAAACCTACCAAAAAAGACTCATGCTCCAGATATGGCATAGCAATAACCACATGATCATTTTTCCTAAAGCAGTATTTAACTCCCATGACATTGTCTTGCCCCCTAGTGGAAAAATGCACAATGAACTTTAGAGGAAAGGTCAAACGAACTAGAACTTCATACTAGAATTATTTTAAAAAGTGTAATTTTAGCAATGCATGTACACTATTAGAAAACAGACTTAAAATCATCATGTAAGATAGTGTAGACATTTAAGTGACTTGCATAAAAGATCAGGTTTTACGTAAAAAGTAGTAAGTTACAAAGTAACTATATTTCAAATATGAGAAAATTATGGTTTTAACTGATAAGTGGCAGAATGAAAAAGATATATAAGACAGAGTTAACAGATTTTGCAGCAGATTTAGTAAGGGTAACAAATGAATTTTAAAAAATAGTAACATTTACCAATATTCACTATATACCAAGCTCTGATCTAATAAGGACTTCATGCCTATGAACAAACTTCATCTTACAGTGTTGCCTTGGTGAAGGAATGCTTTTTTGTTCTGGTTCACAAACAGAAGCATTTGGCAAAATTTTGTTGCAACAGGGAACAAACATGACTTTGGCCACGTTTCCCATATAAACACAAACAGGCCATTATTTCCAAAATCATAAAACAAACAAAGCTGGTGAACCAAAGTGCCACTGTATAACAATCATCAAAGGAAAGTGCTGTTATTCCTTTCCCCTTTTTTAACAGATGAGGACAATGAAAGATGAGGAAGTTAAAGAACTTCCTTCACCAGGTCACCGAACTAGTAAGTCATGAAACCATCTCTGAATCTTGGCAGTTTACTCTCCTAACTACTATGCCACACTGCTTCACAAAAGTTAATTTCTACGATCACAAGCCTGAGTAAACAATGTGGGTAAACAATAATCTAAGTTGAAAAATTAAAGAAGCATCTAAAACCAAGAGCTTAATTATTTTGATAGGCAGATCTAAATATGACAGTGGAAGTCAAGTAAGAAATTAATGAGAGCACAGTACTTACAAAGAAGTGATATCCAACTGTGTGAAAATGAATATAAAGAAAATTGAGAGTCAGAATAAAGTCTCTAAATTGAAGAGCAAAATAAAGAAGGGACATCAAAAGGAGTTTTAGAGGAAGGGATTATCAAACCTGATATAAGAACTGAGGGAAGGCTTTTAGTTTTACAATGAACAATTAAGTGGTAATTTTTCGGACAGCAATATAGATGAAAAGAAGAAAACTGTTAAGGAAGCAGAAAATAGGACAGACTGGAAGCAGAGCATAAAGACAAGTTGCCTCAATGCATTCACTCTAAGGTCATATGAAGACATTTTTAGCATGTACTTTTTTAAAATTCAAAGAAAAAGAATGTGGTAAAAGGACATAAAGTAGTGGTAAAGTACTATATAAAATATAAAGTAGTATAGAAAAAGAAATGATCTTTAGGGGACTAGAATGTATGCAATTATGTCTTAGGCTATCTCATCTTCTTGTCTTTTTTTTTTGTTGTTTTTTTTTTTTGTCTTTTTCCTTTTTACTGGTACCAGGGATCGAACTCACGGCTGCCTGCTTGCAAGGCAGGCGCTTATGCCGCTGAGCTAAATCCCCAGCCCCAATCTTCTTGTCTTTTATAATAAAGAGAAGTGAAACAAAGAAATAAGCTCATTTATTCATTCAATAAATATTTAGCACTGTTGTTTGCTAGACACAAAGTCCACTATTATGAATTCAACAGTGAATAATATTACCACAATTTCTGTCCTTTTTTTATTCCTGTGGAGTTTATTATTTAGTGGACAAAACAGATAAATAAGGTAACAATGACTTTTGTCTAGATATGTCCCCAAAGCCTCATGCCGTTATAAGTAGGGTTTTTCAGAGATGGGAGGATCTAGAAGTCAGTCCACTGATTGGTTTGGCACCATCCTAATCCTGCTAGGCCAGATAAAACTATAGGGTGCCGAAAGAAGCTGCTAAGGTCTCTTGCTTGCTTTCATCTGCCTGCTTGTCATGGACTATTTTTCCTTTGCAGTGCCTCTCTGCCATGCCACTCTGCCTTGGAGCTAGCCAACTATGGGGTTATGGTTTGTGTCTAATGTCCTCCAAGCCTCATGCAGTCATAAAGTTTCTTGGGAGGTGGCTGTGGAGTGTGTGACTGATTTACAGAGGAATGCTGGGATTAAGAGAGGGTGATTGCTGGATCAGTCCACTGACTGGGTTGTCACTTCCCTAATCCCAATAGGCTGGTCACTATATAAGGGACAGAAAGAGGCTTGTCTCATGCTTTCTTGCTTGCTTTTGCTGTTTTCCCACCACTATGAACTGTTGTCCCTCTGCCATGCCACCCTGCTTTAGAGCCAGACAACTATGGACTAAAACCTCCACAAACTGTGAGCTAAATAAACCCTTCCTCCTTTAACTTTGAGGGCTAGGTATTTTATCTCAGCAACAAGAATAGTAACTAAGAATGGACAGAAATCTCTATAAACTCTGAGTCAAATCAACCTCTCTTCCTTTAACTTTGGAAGTTGGGTGTTCTGTCTCAGCAACGAGAAAAGTAACTAAGACACAGATTATGGTAAGAGTTTTGAAAGAAATCAGAGTGTGTGTGAAAATTTAAAAAAAAAAATCTAAGAATCCAATTTAATTCACAGAAGACTTCTTGAAGAGGTGCCATTGTTGCTCATATCAAAATGATTTGGAGTCACCACGTGAAAACTAGTAGAAATCTTCCTGAAGGTAGAAAGAGTCTGAACAGTAACCCTGAGGAAAGAAAAATCTTCAGACTCATTAGAGAAGCTAAAGAAATTAGGACACAGAGAAGTGGGAAGATTGGCGTGAGAGAAGGTTGAGTTTTATTTATTTTTTTTAGTACAAGGGATTGAATCTAGGGAGTGCTGAGCTACACCCCCATGCACCTTTTAAAATTTTTTAGCAGGTTCTCACTAAGTAGCCAGGATGCTTTTGACTTTATAATCCTCCTTGCATCAGCCTTCTGAGAAGCTGAAATTAGGAATGTGCTATCATGCCCAGGAAGAGTGGATTTCATTTTTATGGTTTGGGCAAGTTAATATTGTTAAATTGTTGATACTACCCTAATTGATCGACAGATTCAAAGCAATCCATAACAAAATACCAATGCCATTCTCCACAGAACAAGAAAAAAAATCCTAAAATTCTTACAAAACCAAAAGAGACTCCAAATAGCCAAAGCAATCTTGAACAAAACACATCTGGAGGCATCAGAATATCTGGCCTAAAAACATACTATAATGCTATACAGCAAACAAAACAGAGTGGTGTTAGTTGAGTAACTGACTCAACCAATGAGGCAGAAGCGGGAACTCAGCAGTAAGTTCATACATCCACAGTCAACTGATCTCCAATAAAAATATACTCAAGTGCGCTGGGGATTTAGCTCAGCTGCAAAAGCACCTGCCTAGCAAGTGTGAGGTTGTGAGTTCAATCCCTGGTATCCCTCTCCCTCAGTACTCTAGAGAAAGGACATACACACTTTGGAGAAAAATACATCCTGGAGAAAGGACAGTCTCTTCAATAAATGGTGCTAGAAATACTGGATTCTTCACAGACAAAAGAAATATAAAAAACAAACTCAAATTGGATCCAGTGCAGTGAAAGTAAAAATAGACAAATGAGATTTTATCAAACCACAAAGAGTGAAGAGGCAATCTGAAGAATGGAATAAAATACTTGCAAACTATTAATCCAACAAGGAATTGGGTTCCATAAATATATAAGAAATTCAAAAAACAGCAAAAGAAACCAAATACTCTGATTCAAAACAGGCAAACAGGCTAAGGAAACAGCTCTGTGGTACAGTTCCTGCCTGCCACGTGCAATGTCCTGAGTTCGAGTCCCAGTACAAAAAAAAAATACTGTATACAAATGGCCAATACATGAAAAATGTTCAACAATCTAAATCAGTGAAATGCAAATTAAAACCACAAGAAACTACTTAACTCCAGTAAAACTAGCTATTAAAAAAACAAAAATAACAAATACTAATAAGATATGAAGTAAGGCAGAACCCTTCCACAGTGTTGATCAGAACCTAAATTTGTATAGCCATTTATGGAAAGCACTGAAATTCCTCAAGTAACACTAAAAATAAAACTATCACATGATTCAACAATCCCATTATTGGACACATATCCAAAGAAATGGAATTTGTACATCAGAATCATACCTGTACTCTCAAATGTATTATAGCAGTATTTGTATTAGCCAAGGTGTGGAATTAACCAAGGTGTCCAACAGTTAAATGGATAAAGAAAATTGATCTATATAGTCAATAGGATATTATTTGGTCATAAAAAATGAAATGCAATAACATGGATGGAACTAGAATACATTACATTAAGTGAAGTAAGCCAGACACAGAAAGACAAATACTGCATTTCCCTCATATATGGAAGCTAATAAAGCTGATCTCACAAAAGTACATAAAAGAAGATACTGACTAGTGAGAAGCTAGGAATGTTTGGGAGAAGGGGAGATAGAAGCTAGTTAACAATAATCAAATACAATTGGATAGGAGGAAAAAACTCTAGTGTTCCAGAGCACAGAAAGGTGACTATTGTTTACAATTTATAAAGGACTAGTAGAAGTGTGAAGACTCTCAACACAAAGAAATGATAAAAGTTTAAGGAGATGGAAATGCTATTTACAGTGATTTGAACATTACATATCACATACGTGTAACAAGTCATCACATGTACTCTATAAATGTATTAATTATTTTGTATCAATTAGTGCTTGCTTTAGCAGCACATATACTTTAAAAAGTCAATTATGATAAGCTATAGCTAGAGTCTGGCTAACTCTACAGTGTAACAAAGTCAGTTTCAGTCTAGTCAGAAGAAAGCAGCACAGTATGTAGCAAAAAGTGTGGAAGTGAAAATAGTATAGTAGATAATTTTTTAGAAACTTGGCTGCAAAAGGGAGCAATTCAGGAAGACAATATATCATGTCTTTATGCTGAAAGGAATGACCTAGCAGAAAAAAAAAAAAAACAAGGCATATCTAAAAAAAATGAGCTAAGGCTGTCAATAGGTATAGAGATGTTAAAACTGAATTCTCATATATATATATAAAAAAATCCAGGCCATGGAAGCCAGGTTTATGATTTGGCAGGAAGGTTACAAAAAAAGTGACCCAAGAATAGGAAATCATACTGGCCCTCAAAGGAAATGCCCTCTAAAAACATTAACAAACTAACTGTTGCAAAATCAGAGACAAAGTACTAACAAATTACAAACAACTAAAAAATATATTTAGTTTATATACAATCTGATCATTCCTATTAAGCATCTACCTTAAAATATTATACAGTAAATTGCCTACCCAGCCACTGTGAGACACTGTAGCTCAGCTGCAATTCTTATGGGATGACTTGTTGGAATTAAGTGTTTGAGAGCAATTTTTTCATCAGGTCCTACTTGTAACTGTGCTGTGGCCAAATACACTGAGCTGAAAGTACCTATAAAAGAATTTATTAGAATTTTCAGAATTTGACTTTTAAAGTTTTTCATGAAACAATGCTAAAACAGATCAACAAACTATTTAATGGTATAATAGATTAAAATAGACCTGTTCTTTTTACTGTATTTATTATTTATACTTTTCATTTTTCTAGGGGGAAAAAAGAAAAATGTTACAATAATTTATTTTCATTGTCTTGCTAATTTTAAAAGTAGGATTAAGAAATCATGAAAAATCAAGGTTATACAAGGAAAATATATGCAAAAAAAACCTCATAAAGATAATAAAAGTATGCTCCCAAATTACCTTCTCCAATTTTGTCCTTAATTTTAAACACACTACTAAGCTGTGGAACAGCTTCATAAAGTTTCTCAATGTCTTTTTTAACACCTATCAAGGAAACAAAAATTTACAGTTGCAGTCAATAACATGTACTTTACAGTTTTTAAAGTTAAAAAATTTCAGTGAAATAAATTCTAGCACAAGTAAAAAAGTTTTAATAAAAGTTACAAGATTAAAACCTCATCAAGGTGCTTTGATTCACATTAGCTCTTAAACTAACAAAGAAGACAGTCCCAGAATTACACATACAAAATCTCTATTACACTAGAATTATAGACTAATAACTCTACTATATTCACACATTTGGCTTTTAAAACGAAGAGGCTAAAATGAGAAAGTAACTAAAGCTGGGTACAGTGGTCCCTGCCGATTGTCTCATCTACTTTGGCAGCTCAGGCAAAAGCATTACTTGAACCCAGGAGCTCATGGCAACCCTGAGTAACAAAGTGACACCCTATCTCTTAAAAAGAAAAACACAAAAACTAAACACAAACAATCAAAACCCAAAATAAAAATTAAAAGCAAATAAATTTATGCTGTGATCACTAGGTGGCATAATAAAGACACAATGAAATGTTCACCAAAACTAGTTTCTTCTTCAAACATACAGAATCTTGAAGTCTGCAAAAGTACTATGCATTGAATAGTCACAATAAACCCCCCAACAGAAAGGCTACTAAAGCTCTGGCCATGTAAAAAATATTTTAAAAGATTTGTCCCAAATAACAGTAGAATCTTCTATCTTAGACAGCAGAAAAATTGCTACTTATAAATAAATAAATTAAAACTTTATGAAAAACACACATGGTTAAAATAAGTACAGGCAATAATATAAAATCTAATAACTGGATACAAAAAGAAGCTATAGAAATCTTGAGATTTTACCCATAAGATCTAAGCCAAGTGTAAGCTACTTGAAGTTACTGTAATACTCTGCATAGTGTAACAATTTAAAACATTTTTAAACACATGTTCATATGTATTATCTTTTCAGATCTTAACAGCACTGTGATACTGGCAGAACAAGAATTAAATCCTCATTTTCCAGACACGGATACCCTATTCAGAGAAGTTACATTACTTTTCCAATTTCACAGAGATATAAGTGATGTCTAAGGAGTTATTCATTCAACAGTTTTTATAAATGCTTGGCCATGGGTATATTTGAAAAATGAAAAAAACAGGTGCAGCTACTATTCTCTAGGATTTAGTCTAGTAAAGGAGACAGATGTTACTATTCTCAAAACAGTGATAACTGTCAGCAAAGAATGCATATAGAAGAGACATGGAGTTGGGGAGGATGAATACTTCACAAGGTGCCAGAAAGCCCTCAGATGACAGCCAAGTTCTGAAGCACTCATCAAGCAACAAAAATGGAAGAAGACATTTAGGAAGAAGAAAGTACATATATAAAACCATTGAAAAAGAAAAGGCATAGAAGAGTGGGGTAAAGGGAGGGAGGGGACATAAGAAAATTCAATGTAGCTGAGGAAGGGAAAAACAGAATACAACTGAAAGCTATGGTTACTAAGCACAAAATGGTAACTAAAACATGAATTGAAGGGACATAAGAATGTGAAGAACTGGAGACCAAATAGCAGGCTGGGATCTAGTCTTCCCCAAAACAAAGGGCTTTGCTACTCATCCATTACACTAAGTACTTTACATCTTTGCATTAAGTCTTTCATTCAAGGATTTCAAACACCTACTATGTGCTGGACCCTGTATGGTTATGGGAAATATGTAAAAAGACTTACTATCTGATCAAACACTTAACTTCAATAACCAGTAAAGTTGATGAGGTCCAGGCATATAACTGTCTTATGATCTAGTCTATTTACTTTCTCAATTAGATCAAGAGAGTTATGCGCCTGGATCTTGTCATCTTTATTCTTTATTGAAGTTATGTTTTTGATATAACTATAGCTTTTCTTAAAGGTCATATAATAAAAGAACCATATGGGTAAAGTTTCAGCATGTTTTATATATTATTGCTGGCATTATTTATAATGTCCAATGCTGGGTTATGTGAAAGGCTACAAAACTTTCAAAATTGAAAATAAAATTCCCTCAATGCTTTCTTTCCCAGTGGATTTTCAGAATATTAGAACAGCATTGTCCTGAACTTAATGCTAAAACCAAATCAGACTGACCCATTTACACACTCTAGTTAATAATGCATAACATAGACAACAAGCCAAACTAGAGACAAAATGCAAAGTGTTACTGAATACAAGAATAACTACATTATTATACTGTGTGTGTAGGGTCTAATAAGGAAAAGCTGAACAGTGAAAAATAGGTACCTGCAAGAAGAATGGAAGGGAAGAGAGGCAGCATCCATAAAAATGGATAAAACTGGTATTTTACGGTTAATCTAATAGCAGCATTGTAAATGAAATGGAGACGGGGGCAGAAATGAATGGTAAAAATCTCAATTGTAATTCAAGAGCAAAGTGTATGGGAATCAAGGAGGTAGAAAGGGAATGTAAAGAAGCATCAGCATACCTAGTAAAGAGTATCAGTTGGAGGACTGGATATAGGGAGCAAATACAAAGCATAATTCAAAGACACTGACTTTCATCACCAAACACAGGGTACCTACGAGAGAAGGTACCTAAGTTGACCCCAAATGAGTTTAGTTTTATTCAGAAAGCAAAAGCATGTGGTATCATATTTTTTTTAGAGTAGAGTTCAAGTCTTTTGTGGTATATATATAAAGTACAGATCATGAATCAAGGTCAAAACTGGGATCTTTTGGAGAAGCACTCAATTTGCCTAGGACAAAGGTGGAAAAGATTTAGTTATCTTTAAGGGGAAAATAAAGCAGTCAACTGGAATTCTTCTATTTAAAAAATATTTGTTAAATGTTCCCTATGTCCCAAGCACTGTAATAGAGGAATGAAGGTACACCTTTCTTTTAGTGTAGAAAATCTTGCATTAAATCATCTTCTCAATCCAAGGCCTGTGCTACGGTCAAACACTTGATGAATTAACTTTATATGGTATATTATCATGCTTTATCACTGCTTCGAACATTTATTTCATTTTTGTAGAATTCTGCTTTTGAACAATTAAATTGAGATCTTTTTAGTGTCAATTTCTAAAAGCACACAGCGTAGTGCGGTGAGGAGAGGTAATAGAAGCTCTAGAAAACACAGATTGTTTGGGATCAAAAACACTCGTGTTTTCCGTAGCCCCTAATACTTAGGTATTAGTATTCCCATCTGTAAAATGTTAAGATTGGTTTACAATCCTCTTAAAGGATCACAATCTTAAACCTCGATCTTTATGTAAAATGCTCCTTTCTATATAAACATGTGGTTCATCTTTTCAATGTTATTTTTTAAAGCAGTTGAAATTACAGAATGAAAAAAAAAAAAAAACCAGAATGGCTGCCTGTGCATCTTTAAAACGATACATGTTGAGAAGTAAACACATACCTGAAAGCTTAAAATTCTGCTCACATTTTTTTATAGAATCATCAGCCTGAAATTGGTCGCACACAGGAGAAAAAGCCATTGGCTCGTCCATTTGAATCCCCAAAGACGCCTCCATCACAAAACAACTGGGATACAAAATGTCAAGACGGGGTTATGAACACAGAGGGAGCAAAGCATCTGTCAAAATTAGAATATTGGCGAAGGTTAAGTTCAATCACTCACCAAATCAAGCACTAAACAATGCCATTGCTCTTAAAAGGGCAAAGATTTTAAAATGCACCACATGCCCAATTCCCCAAAGTAAGAGAAACTGGCCCTAAGGAACTCCATTTGAGTTTGTCACCTTCCAGACACACCAACAGGGGGCCACAGGGAGCATTTCCCAGTGGGGAGCCTTAGCTGCATGCAGCCCGCAGCAAAGGAAAGGGACTGGATCTGGGGCCATCTGGGGAAGCGAGCCTGGGCGCCTGACAGTTGGAGGGTGTGGGGCAGGGAAGCAAAAAGAGGAAGGGTGGTGGTTTGCCCTGGGGAAAAGGCTGCCTAAGGAAATCATTTGCCCAGTGACTACCCAAAGAGGCTGGAGTTTCAAAGCCAGGAGACTCGTCCAAAGTCTCACACTAACTAATGGAAAACTAATGTAATTTTGGCCACGAGTGCGAGGCGGAAAAAGAGAAGGAAACTAATGGTCACCCTTTCAGCGAGCGCGGGTCTCGGGTTCAGGAGGACGGGACACTCCGCCATCCGATCCTAAACAGAACGGGATTCTTAGTGCGCAGGCGCGCGACTTTCCCGCCTGAGGTCGGAGGGATCTGAAGGGGAGGGAAGGTAAAAGGGATAAACTCCATTGCGACAAAACTGAAGTCTCGATTCAGAATTTGTTTCTAATACCTCAGAATCCCACGCCATTGACCGAACCGACCGAAACTCACAGTTTAAAGGTGTACGACTTCCGCGACTCCCCAGATGCCTGGGTCCCCGCCTCCTAGAGTGCCCCACCTAGCGAGTCGGTCAAACGCGCCTGCGCAACGCTTCGCGCCGTGCTGTTTCGAGTTGCACATGCGCACTAGCAAGAGCTCGGAGCCGCCAAATCAGCTCCAGGGCGCTTGCGCAAAATTCTTGAGCATCTTCGTGAAGCTGGGGCTGATTTAGAAACAAGGCTAAGAAACAGTTACGGAAGTAAATCTCCGGATAAGGTTAAGAGGGCAAGCCAATTTTCAGGAAAGCCTCTGGCCCAGGAATTCTGTCATATCTCTATACTGTGCCACACAAAAGGAACTTTCTTGGCTACCTGCTTTTTTCATTAAATGCCCTACCCATATTAGAAACAAACAAATCAAAAGTTGCTCCTTTGTGGCTTCTTTATGGTACAAATGACCAGCGTGATATTCAGGCCGGCAGCGTAGAGACCCTTAGCTATGAGATGGGCAGGTTTCTAGAGCCTGAGTTTAGAGTTATAAACAAACGTAAACCGTAACGAAATAAAATTCCAATTAGCTGGGCATGTTAGTGCATGCCCATAATCCGAGCACTCCAGAGGGTGAGGCAGGAGGATGACAGGGAGTTGGAGGCCAGTCTGAACTACATAGTGAGACCCTGTCTTAAAAATAAATAGTACAGTTCCAGTTAGACGGTGACAATAAAAGAAGCAAAATTGAGCCACATGCTTCCAGACACTGTTTAGTTAAAAAAGGCCCTTCAGGGAAGAGATCTGAATAAGAAGGAGCCAATAGGGAAAAGAGACTACCCAGGAAAAGGACAGAGCAAATACAAAGGTAGAAATGAACCTGGTATGGTTGTAGGGTCAACATCTAGTGTGGGAAAAAACAGTGAGTGAGGAAATATAGTTTGAAGGTGAACACCTAGAAGCAAGCCAACTGTGTAGGCTTTGAAAGCCAGGTCAAGAAATTGGCTTTTATTATAAATAGGAAAGGAAGCAGTTTTAAAGCAAGGAAACGATACTTTCTCAGTTATGTCTATTGTGAAGGAATAAAGTTAGAGAGGAGAGTGAAGGAATGGATTCAAAGCACAGAAGGGGAGAAAGACATTTGAAAAGAAAATTTCTTATCCTTTTAATAGTAGGAACGACAGAAAATAAATTCAGATGGAAATAGTGTGTGTATGTGTGAGAGGATAAGGTAGGTTGTGTATGATCAACTTTCTTAATGCGATCCGAGGTTAGTCTTCTGTCTGAAAACGAGGAAAGAGGATGTTAGAGGTTGGACCATTCAGAAGATCAGAGATATTAGAGTGAATGTAAGCTGTAGAAAGATTGTGATATTGCCAGCAGCGTTGAGTGCCCATTTGCAATTTGTATCAGTAACCTCAGACAGCACAATGATTTGATTTTCTCAAGTACATTTTAGTCAAAAGAATATAGACATGAAAGAGAATAGTTGAATTTAATCGTACAGAAGGTAAATTAGAGTGTTTAGAAGGAAGTGATTATAACTCACTATGAAATCTTTAAGAGGCAAGGAAGAAAAGTAAGAATGTGGCAAATAGTTACACATAGATTAACCCATTCAATCATACTTAGAATAGCCCTTGGAGTATAAGACATTTTGTAATCAAGGCAGAATTTTGTCTTTTTGTCTGTCAGAGCCACATTTATTCTTTTTTTTTTTTTTTTTTTTTTTTTGTCTTTTTTTGAGACGGTCTCTATGCAGTTCGGGCAGGGCTTGAGCTCACTTTGTAGCCCTGGCTGGTCTCGAACTCACAACAATCCTCCTGCCTCAGCCTCCCGAGTGCTGGGATTACAGGTGTGAGCCACCACGCCCGACACCACATTTATTCTTTAGAATATTTCTATGGATGAATCATCTATTAATTTTATGAATTTTATTATATTAAACAATGAATATTTAACAGACAAAAATCACAAAAATAAAATATGTATGTTTATAAAAAAGCAACAAAATTTTCAATATCGACTAGTTTTTTTGTGTACAAAGTCTAAAAATGAACATCAAAAATAAATTCCCATATGAATCACAAGGATAATACCAAAAGCATTCTACAAAAAAAATCTTCAATTATCATACCTAAGGCTGTGTGTACACATGACACCAGCAAGTTCCGTATACACACATTACTTACACTGAGAGCACGTCTTTTGTTTTCCTTGCCTTCTTGTAGGACATGTTTGACATCTCAGTGGTTTTGCTGTTTTGTCAGGAGGTGCTTATTATACTATACAGTGTGTAGTTAACAACATAAAATATCAATAAAATAAGTTATTAAATTCTTAATATGTATTATGCTTTCAGAATAGACATCAACATTTTCATTTCAGTTGTGTACTTCCTTACAAAACCTAGATGCTAACATCAGAAATAAATTCCTATGTGAACTACAATGAAAATACCAATACAACTCTACCACAAAAAATAAGTTTACTGTGACTGTCACAACGAAGGCTGTCTTCACACATGACAACTGCATGTTCCTTGCACTGGTCTCACAATGACAGTATGTGTGCTTAATTTTCCTTTCCTATGTGGCAGTCTTGTTACCTTTCTTCCCGTTTTGCCAGGAGCTTCCTACGATATTATCCAATATGCACTTAGTTGAGAAATAATATGTCAATGAAATAAAATGCCAAATGTGTATTGAGTGCTTATAATAAACATCAACATTTTCATATCAGCTGTTTACTTGTTTACAAAACCTAAAAGACAACATCAAAGATAAAAACCTATATGAACTACAGTGTAAACACAAGCAAAAATCTTCCCCTGAAGTTAGCTTTGCTTCAATTGTCACACTCAAGATATTCTTCACTCATGACAACTGCATATTCCATACACAAGTATCAACTATGCTGATAATACATGTCTTGATTATTTTTCTCATTGCTGATAGTGCATGTCTTAGTTACTTACAAAGTTAAGGGAGGAAACATTTATTTAGCTCATAGTTTGTAGAGATTTCAGTCCATAGTTAAGTGGCTGTAAGGCAGAGTGGCTCATGGCAGATGGGTAACAGTTCATGGTGGCAAAATACAACAAATACATTGTGGGGGGGCAAGAGACACAAGCCTCTTATCATCCCTTATATTGTACGCAAGTAACTTGTTTTAGGGTGAGTGTAGTATTCATACCCGTAATCCCAGCATTGAACCATGAATCAATCACAAACTCTAGAAACCTGCACCCATAACTGTAAGAGGCCTTGGGTGGGTGGGGACGTCTAGATGCATGGCATAACAGCATGCGTGTTTTGTTTTCCTGTACTTTCTTATAAGGAACAGTTGACATCTGTTTTGTTGACATTTGTTTTATTTCCTGTTGTCATAGTAGGCCTTCCTGATGCTGTGCCTGCCTGTTCATCTGAGAGCTCATCAATGTGTGCCACAATTTTTTTGCTGAGTAACCTGGGCAGAAATATTTTGTTTTTCTTCTGCTGTAAATGATCTCTTATAAGTTCCAGTCCCAATCCTCTAAGAAAATTTCTCTGTGATATTTTGCACTTATTATTTTCTTTGTAAACTGTTGATTTACTTATGCCACATATGTTTAGGATTGAGTAAAATACAATGATTGGCCAAAGCTTTGTGTTTCAAGTGGTATCATAATTCTTGCATAACTCATCAAAAACATCTACTCCAGGTTTGTTGTTGAAAGCTTCCATCTCAAGAAGGCTTCTGTTTTGTCAAGGTTTCCCTATCAGTATTTCCACCATGGTGAAATGTGGATATCAGCAGTATCAGTTTACTTTTCTTTGCCATATATAAAGCTAATATTATATCTTTTTGAAATTCAAAGATTGTACTATACAATTCCCTGTTTTCAAATGCAACATTTCATTTGGAATTTCTGCTTTGCTCCTGTGTACAGTTCCTGTGCTGGTCCACTTGTGCTCTGTTAGCAAATATAATATTAATTGGAAACCAGTAAACCAATTGTAGAATGTCACATTTTGTTAGTTTGGGAGATGGGAGCAACAAATCTGTTCACAACATTATTCAGTTTATTGTTATATGAATAAGGTCCTTAAGGCTGAGTTCCAGGATAAATGTCTAAATTGAAAGAATAATAAGTTTTACATATACAAGGGCATAAATTTTTATGCCATATTTTTGACCCATTGCTTTATAATAAGTCTTTTACATTCCTGCAATCACCACAAGAAATCTGTGCTAAGTATGACAGACCTGTGAAAGCTTTCAGTTCAGCTGGTAACATAATAAATACATTTTTAATATGGCTATTGGTGTGTACAGAATGTTTTACTTGCATTTCAGTCTGTGTATTCACAACATAGTCTAGCATTTTGTCTTACAATTTCCAACACTGGATGAGTGTTGGCATTCTATCTAATATGTTTCACCTCTGCTAAGACCCTCACTATATTTTTGGACCTAGTTCTAACATTGAATCATTCCATTTCATTTCATAGTGATTTTGAAACATTTCAACTAATCAAACATCTACTCATATTGCTGTTTTTTTTTGTTTTTTGTTTTTGTTGTCATATGAATCGAGGATGTCTGTATTCCCTGTGTCAGTTAATTTTTGCTTCATTTCATTGTCACAGGAACTTTGACTCACATGGTCAACATCAAAGTCATCATCATCATCATCATCCTCATCACCCATCCACACCACTCCTCTGTTATGAAAGTATGTATTTTACCATAATGGGTGTTGTTCATCCATGCACTATTCATCTGATGATTCACTTTTGACCTCCTTCAAAATTTGCAGATCTGGTTTTTCATGTGCCATTGTACTTAGTTGGGTTATTTCTATCAGACAAATTTTTAAAAAAAAACTTTAAAAAAACAAATCCTTGAGTAAGGTAGATCTATTGGACTCTCTGTGGTGCTCAGGTAAACATACCCAAAACTAGTTATCAGGAGCATAGTGGT